GTGGGTTTTGAACTCCGGGCTCAAATTAACATTTGTTAATTGTATCCCTTACTCTTGGGCTCAAGCAAGCCTCCTGCCTCAGCCTCCCAAAATGCTGGGATTACAGGCAGGAGCCACCATGCCAGCCATAGCTCTTTTCATTTAAATTCTACCTATGGCTTTTTAAAAAATGGGGCTCTGTTGTTTCACTGAATTGACGTACTATTTCCTGGTTAGCCATTTTCCTACCAGTGAGCATTTGGATTACTTAGAGGTTTTCATTATGAAATGCTGTGTTCAGATAAGTTATTTTCCCCTTTGAATTATTTCTTTGACATATATTACTATAAGTAAAGGAGTACAAACATTTGGGGTGTGAATTGACAACCATTTACAGGGACACCATGAATGTTGTTGACACCTAATGAAAAGCTAACTGGTAATTGCTTAACTTGTATTTCTTTGATTATTAGTAGGATTGATTCCTTCTCAAATAGTTGTCTTCTGGAGTAAATTTTCTATTTATGTCCTTAAATTATTTGTTACTGTATCCCTTACAAATTCCTACCAGCTACTTGTATATAAAGGTAATCTATTATGCTTTCTCTTCTCTGTTGTCATACATTTATGAATGTATTTATTTATTTGTTATTATACTTTAAGTTCTGGGGTACATGTGCAGAATGTGCAGGTGTATTATATAGGTATATATGTGCCATGGTTGTTTGCTGCATCCATCACCCTGTCATCTACATTAGGTATTTCTCCTAATGCTATATCTCCCCATCACCCTGCCCCCTGCTATCCCTCCCCTACCCACCCCACCACCCCTTGCTATCCCTGCCCTATCCTTCCACCCCCACAACAGGCCCTAGTGTGTGATGTTCCCCTCCCTATGTCCATGTGTTCTCATTGATCAACACCTACTTATGAGTGAGCACATGTAGTGTTTGGTTTTCTGTTCTTGTGTCAGTTTGCTGAGAATGATGGTTTCTGGCTTCATCCATGTCCCTGCAAAGGACATTAACTCATCCTTTTTTATGGTTGCATAGTATTCCATGGTGTATATGTGCCACATTTTCTTTATCCAGTCTATCATTGATGGGTATTTGTGTTGGAAATGTATTTATTTTAAAAAAATGATTTATTTGGCAGATATTTGTAATTGTTATGCAGTCAACCAACTTGGAACTCTTTTCCCCCAGAGGTTCATACTTCATCAGGTCTCTGCTCAAATGGCCTTGACCACCTGTATAAAATGTCTCTCCACCTTCCTCTAATCACTTTCATTCTATATTATCTCTTTTTATTTTCATCACAGCACATTCCAGCTGGCATAACATGTATTGTCTGTGTCCCCCACTAGAATAAAACATTTCATGAGATAGGGACTTGATCATTTTTGCTGCTGTATCCCCAGTGCCTAGTGCACAGGAAGTGCTCATAAATATTTTTGAGTGAATGATGCAAATTCTGCCATTGAAAATTACTATTATTGTGTCAGTAGACAATAAATGATCTTTCCTCTGTAAATGAGGCAATGATACCATCCCATTTTCTTCTGGCTCATTATAGTTAGTTTTGAAATAATTTACTCTTTTCTTATTTTAATTTTTTAATGGTATTTCATAAATCTTTGACCAACATTTTCCTAGAATTTTGCTTTTTCCATGATTTTGAATTCATATCAGTTTGGATCTATTTTTGCATCTTTTTTTTTTTTTTTTGAGACAGGCTGGGGTACAGTGATGTGTTCGGAGCTTACTGTAACCTTGAACTCCTGGGCTCAAAAGATCCTCCTGCCTCAGCCTTTCCTGCAGCTAAGACTGTAGTCACATGCCATCACACCTGGCTACTTTAAAATTATTTTTGTAGTGACAGGGTATTGGTAAGTTGCTCAGGATGATCCTCCCACCTCAGGCTCCCAAAGTGCTGGCATTATAAGCATGAGCCATTGTGCCTGGTTATATCTTTATTTCTATATTCTAATCTTTGTACTGGTAGTTCTGGTGGGCATTTATTATAACATGGCTTAAGATTTTATAGGACTGAGTAGACTGTTGACACTTTTCATTCCAATTGTTTTCTTGAGATTTTTTTCTTTAACTTTTAATATGGAAAATCAAACACACTAAATTAGAATAGTATAGGAATTGGAAAACTTTTTTTGAATGCACAATAGAATATTTTTGACAATGCAAAACAATGATCCTAGCATTTATGCTTTCCTTTATATTAGCCAGTTTTTCTAAGTCCCAAGTTTCTAATGAAAATATTTTCACCATGTACAAAATAGTTCCCAAAATTTTAGTAACATATTACCATTGTTCTTTTAATTCACCAAGCCAGCTTTGAGCCCTTCTCTGTGTCCAGCATGTGTTCTAAGAGGTGTGAAGGATACCATACAAAGAAGAGTGCTCCCTACCTGCAAGGTGTTTATAATCCAGTTGGGAAGATAAAAACTGTTAAGTGAAAGAACTAGGGAATATACTGCCATCATCCTAGCTTTATGCTATCATTGGTACAAACCAATGATAGGCAGCTTATAAAAATCAAATATATAACAAATGAAACAGAGAAAGCAGCTAAGAGCCTGCAGTAGGTGAGCCAGAAACAACAATTTCTTTCCAAATGCATGATCGTCTGTCAGCACTGGCCCAGAAGAGGGAGACTGACATTTTATCCTCAACAAGCCAGGGAGATGGTTATACTTAGTGCAGTGCTAAGCACTCAACTGGACAGTTAATTTTTTACAAGTTTTAAATGTGAACCTATTGATCCAGTTTCTGATTTTTGTTGTTACAGGAATAAGTTCTTCAGTAGTGATTTCTGAGATTTTGGTACACGTATCACCTGAGCAGTGTACAGCTGTACTCAGTGTATATTGTTTTACCTCTCACTCCCCTCTTACCCTGTTTCCTTGAGATATTTACCCCTATCTTTTTCACATCCTTTTTTTCTATGCAATTTTATTATTTCTATGAGATATCCTATTGAGATGTTAATTGGTATTGCATTTAAATCTACTTATGCAGAGGGAGAATTTAGTTTTCCTTATTCAAGTTGTCTTTTATTTCTGCCATTAAAGTTTTTATAATTCCATTTATATAGATCTCTTATCAGTCTCACTAAATATTTGGTTTTTGTTGTTGCTATTGAAAAATACACCCTTTTTTCAATATATTTTTGGCATGTAAATTAAAACTATTTTTTTTGCATTTATCTTATAATCTATAACCTTCCTAAAGAAACTAAAATTTTGTTGATTCTCAAATTTTCCAAATATGAATTTCTATTTGAAAAGTGATTTTAAAGATTTATTATAATTTTCTTTGTACTTCTTAGTCCTATTAGCTTGCTAGAAACTTTTATATTACATAGAAATGTTAATGGGAACATTCCTAATTTGTTCTAAGGTTTTTTTTTTGTTTGTTTGAGACAGGGTCTCACTCTGTCACCCAGCTTGGAGTACAGTGGCATGATCTTGACTCACTGCAGCCTTGACCTCTCTGGTTCAAGCAATCCTCCCACCTCAGCCTTCCAAATAGCTGGGACTACAGGAATCCACCACCACTCCCAGCTAATTTTTGTATTTTTTGTAGAGATGGGATTTCACCATGCTGTGTTCTAAGTTCTAAATAGAACAATTCTAAATTTCCTCATTAAAAATAATATAAGCTCTGGTTTGTGGTAAATATTCTTTATTGTGCTAAAAGAAAACTCACTACTATGTAGATCTTTTCTGTGATCAAGAATATCAAACATCATCAAATGTATTTACAGTATCATGGTTTTTCTATACTTCTATATTTTAATAATGATTAATATTAAATGTTTCCCTAATTTTATACTAAGTTTACTATATTTTCCCTGCTATGATTATAAGACTTTAGCATTATTGTTACAAGCAGGATTAACATTTTCCTTTTCTCACTACTGCACTTGACTAGTCTTTAAAAAAGAAAAAGAAGCTGGGCGCGGTGGCTCATGCCTGTAATCCCAGCACTTTGGGAGGCTGAGGTGGGTGGATCACGAGGTCAAGAGATCGAGACCATCCTGGTCAATATGGTGAAACCCCATCTCTACCAAAAATACAAAAAATTAGCTGGGTATGGTGGTGCGTGCCTGTAATCCCAGCTACTCAGGAGGCTGAGGCAGGAGGATTGCCTGAACCCAGGAGGCGGAGGTTGCGGTGAGCCGAGATGGTGCCATTGCACTCCAGCCTGGGTAACAAGAGCGAAACTCCGTCTCAAAAAAAAAAAGAAAAAAAAAAAAAAAAGAAAAGAAAAAGAAAAGTTATTAGTTGGAAGTGTAGAGAAAGGTAAGAATATGTATAGAAGAAAATATAAAGAAGTATAAAGATGTATGTTTAATAAAATAAAAAGTACTCATAATCACTATTGAAGTCAATGCCTCAACTCCAAAATATGTGAACACTGTGATTCTATTATATTTTCTTTCTTTTTTCTTTTGAGACAGAGTCTTGCTCTTTCACCCAGGCTGGAGTGCAGTGGCATGATCTCAGCTTACTGCAACCTCCACCTCACGGGTTCAAGTGAGTCTCGTATCTCAGCCTCCCAAATAACTAGGATTACGGGTGCCTGTCACTATGCCTGGCTAATTTTTTAAGTAGAGTCGGGGTTTTGCCATGTTTGCCAGGCTGGTTTGAACTTCTGACCTCAGGTGATCCGCCTGCCTTAGCCTACCAAAGTGCTGGGATTACAAGCGTGAGTCACCGCACCCGGCCTCTGTTATATTTTCTGAAGCACATACAATTGACTTCAGGTAGACAGCCCAGAATGCCAACTGAGTAACATGAGAAGTTGGCATGAAAATAAAAATTAGCCAAGGCTGAACCAAATGTGGGTCATTCAGAGCTGACTATATTGTCATGCAGTTACACTGCATCTGTCTCTGAGAATCTTCAGTGGCAGATTCCTGAGTTGAAAGACTAAAGCACACACCTCTTTACTAATATTTCATGTCTTAGAATTCCTTTGGCATTTTCCTGCCTCACATACCTGGATTCTTCAGGCTTGAGAGCCGTGCTCTTAAAATCAGGTGTCTTTTCTTCAGAGGTCTTATCCTCCATCTCCTTGGATGTATTTGCCTCACTTTCTACTGGAGTCAAGGTAGTTTGAAAATATCCTTTACCTTCAAAAGTCACAGTTATGTTTGAGATGGTGACATGTTTTGGGGATTCTTTCAACTCACTCTTACTTTTTGTATCTTGTAGACACCCAGGCTTCAGAATGTCTTTTATTTTTTCCTTTAAAAATAAAAAGCAGCAGCAAATCAGGTAACAGAAGAACATCAGCTAATAGATGTTTGTGGAGCAGCATCTAATACAGGCACCATTTCATTCATTGTCACTGAGCCCCTGTAAGTAGTAAGGAGGGAGTGAGGCTTAGAGTGGTATAACGATGGGGAGCGCCCAGGGTGTGCTGGCAGCAGGCTGTGTGGGAGCCAGGGCCTGCCCCACTGCAGCCTGACACATGTTCCCAAGCTCACGTTGTCACCTCACAGAAGACACTTGGCTTCTAATTACAGTATTTCTCTGTGAATTGTCAGTGCAACAAAGGTTTCCTAGAAATGCCACTGATTCCCCAGTCTGAGTTTGCTCTTAATGAGAGCATCTAATAGGTGACAGGGGTTGGGGGCTTATAATATAAAAAAGATTTTTTTAAAATGACTTAGAACTTGTATTTAAAACTTAATACTCTAACCCCTTCCCTCCTAATTTCCCAGTTTCTGTTAATGTACCACCTCTACCAGCTGCTCTCTGATTCCCTCAGAATCACTGAAGCCTCAAGGCCAGTGAGGGTTAGCAGGCCCTAAAGCTGGCTCTCTAATGTTCTTCATGTCTGCACCTTCTTCTTCCACTGCCCCTGCCTAGTCCATTACTTCTTGATACGGTTTTGTCCCTTGAAAATCTCATGTTGAAATGTGACCTCCAATGTTGGAGGTAGGGCTAGTAGGGGGTGTTTAGGTCTTGGGGGCAGATCCCTTGTGAATGGCTTGGTGCTGTCCTCCCCATAATGAGTTCTCACTCTGAGTTGATGTGAGATCTGGTGTTTAAAAGAGGCTAGCACCTCTTTCCTCTTTGTTTTGCTCCCTCTCTTGCCATGTGATGTGCTGGCTCCCCTTCCTTTCTGCCATGATTGTAAGTTCCCTGAGGCCCTCACCAGAGCAGATGCCAGCATTGTGCTTCCTTTACCACCTACAGACCCATGAGCCAATTAACCCTCCTTTCTTTATTGATCGCTCAGCCTCAGATATTTCTTTATAGTAATCCAAGAATGGCCTAATACACCTCTATTACATTTCCTTGGAAATAATGCAATAATTTTCTTCCTTAAAGATAAAACTCCTGACAATAAAAGTGATATATATTTATTATAGCATATTTGGAAAATCATATAAGGAATAATGATAAAGATAGTATATTACTGCTTGCCAAGGTGGGCGGATCACTTGAGGCCAGCAGTTTGAGACCAGCCTGGGCAACATGGAGAAATCCCATCTCTACTAAAAATACAAAAATGAGCTGGGCATAGTGGTGGGCACGTGTAATCCCAGCTACTCAGAAGGCTGAGGTATGAGAATCACTTGAACCTGAGAGGCAGAGATTGCAGTGAGCTGAGCTCTTGCCACTGCACTCCAGCCTGGGCAATGGAGTAAAACTGTCTCAAAATAATAATAATAAATTATTGCTTGTATAATGCCACTGCCCAGAAACAACTACTCCTATGCACATTTTACTCTCATCTTTTTGTCTATTTATTTTGTTTATGTCTACTTTGAGATCATCTTGAAGTTCCATTTCCTTTTTCACTTAACATTTTATTGTAAGCATTTTCCTCCTGTTATTAAAAATTGTGTAGAACTATTTGAATTTTTCCTAATTAAAAATTAGTGTTTTTGTTTTGTTTTGTTTTTGTTTTTTGAGACAGGGTCTCACTCTGCCACCCAGGCTGGAGTGCAATGGTACAATCTCAGCTCACTGCAATCTTTGCCTCCCAGGTTCAAGCAATTCTCCTGCCTCCGCCTCCTAGGTAGCTGGGATTACAGGCCCCCACTAACACGCTGGCTAATTTTTGTGTTTTGTAGAGATAGGATTTTGCCATGCTGGCCAGGCTGGTCTTGAACTCCTGACCTCAGGTGATCCATCTGCCTCAGTCTCCCAAAGTGCTGGGATTACAGGCATGAGCCACCATGCCCAGCCCTGCCATCCATTTTTCTTTTCTTTTTTTTTTGAGACAGGGTGTGACTCTGTCACCCAAGCTGGAGAGCAGTGGCACGATCTCGGCTCACTGCAACCTCTGTCTCCAAAGCTCAAGCAATCGTCCTCCCTCAGCCTCCCTAGTAGCTGGGACTACAGGCACATACTACCATGCCTAGCTAATTTTTGTATTTTTAGTAGAGATGGGGTTTCACCATGATTCCTAGGCTGGTCTTGAACTCCCAGACTCAAGCAATCCACCTGTCTCAGCCTCCCAAAGTGCCGGGATTACAGGTGTGAGCCACTGCACTGGACCTTTTTTCTATTGTAGACCTAGAGGAAGTTTTTCAGCAGTAGTCTTCAGATCTCTTTGCCTATGTTCCATCCTGCATTTGCTTAATCTTTAAAAAATACAGCTTTTTCATTCCCTTACACAGGAGACTTTGGTCACTAAGGTTTGCTCAAATAGTGAAGTTCTCACTTTTAAATTTGACTCTCAAGGTTTTTAAGCAACTTTCCAATCCTATATTCTACTATTCTCCACCTATATTATCCTCCAGCCCAACTAACAAAACATTTTTGGGCATGACTCTCTGGTCTTTTCTAAAGCCACTCAATTTGTTTTTTATTATCCTATTTCCATCCTTATGTTTACCCATCGAAGTTCCATCCCATCCTTCAAGATACTGGATACCGCTATATGTTTTTAAACTGGAAAATAACCGTTTCATTGTATTAATATCCTCATTTTAGAAGTGAGAAAACTGAGGCTCATGGATTCTGTGACTTGGGCAAAGTCACACTAGTAATATGTCGCAGGTTGAGTCTAACTTGGGTCTTCTGATTCTGATTCCAAAGTTATTTTCATTTCTGATACTGGGCTAAGATTGATGTTAAGGGTGATCATTGCCTATTTCAGGAAACATCTTACAACTCCTTTACACAAGGATTCAGAGATCAAATCTCACTATTAAAATTAGGTTACAGTTCCATAGCATTTTGATCATCAATGTCAGCTAACCAAGAACTGTGATCTTGGTAATTACTCTGGTTCTCGATTATTAAGGCATGAAAGTCTTCGGTGACACGTACCTCCTCCTCTTGCTTGGCCCTGATTAAGTCATCATTTTCAAACACGACTGTGACTCCTGAGCATTTTGTAACATCCAAGTTGTCTGTAACTTCTGTGGCTTCTCTGACTTCTGTGACTTCTGTGACAATTCTTACATCTGGGACCTCTGGGACCTCATTTTCTGGAAGATCTGTGACATCTGTGATGTCGGTGATGTCTGTGAATTCCGAGAAATCTATGCTGTCCCTGACATGTACAGGGTCTGTAACTGCCTGCACATATGGGGTCGGGATGGCTGTGAACGCTGTGATATCCATCACGTCCAAGGAGCCTGTGATGTCCGTGCTATTCGTAATTCCTGAGAGACTTGAAATCTCTGACACTTTGGAAACTTTGGCTTTCTCCTGATTCAAGAGGGAGATGAGGGCCACCCACTGAGAAAATAAGGTGTCCTGTTTACATGCAGAGGTGCAGAGCTGTAAGTAGTAGGCTCGACCACTCACCAGCTTTACTTTCAGGCGCATGTTCTCAGCATCATGCACAGAAAGAGTCACAAACTGCAGAGGGAGAAACCTGCAAACAAGCACACATGTAACATCATCTGGAGACCTGATTGTAGGCCTAAATATATATAGTTTTTGGTTTTTGGTTGTTTGTTTTGAGACAAGGTATCACTCTGTTACCTAGGCTGGAGTGCAGTGGTGGTACGATCATGGTTCACTGCAGCCTCGACTTCCCAGGCCCAGCTGATTCTCCCACCTTATCCTCCTGAATAGCTGGGACAATAGGTTTGCACCACCATGCCTGGCTAGTTTTTGTATTTCTTGTAGAGACAAGTCGTACAAGGTAGTTTTGTATTTTTTGTAGAAACAAGGTTCACCATATTGCCCAGGCTGGTCTTGAATGCCTGGGCTCAAGCAATATACCTGCCTTGGCTTCCCAAAGTGCTGGGATTACAGGTAAGAGCCACCATACCCAGCTTCTTTCTTATTTTTTTATAGTAGTTGAAGAATGAGACTCAAGACACCAGACTTGTCTCCCAGATAGGTCTGGGTAGGGGCTTCTGAGGACCATCTCATCTTAATCATATGACAAAGGCTCTGATGTATAAAAACAGAGTGGACTGGGCACGATGGATCATGCCTGTAACCCCAGCACTTTGGGAGGTCAAGGCTAGTGGATCACCTGAGGTCAGAAGTTCAATACTTCTGTGTAAATGTCTGTACCTTCACAATATCAATATGGTGAAACCCTGTCTCTACTAAAAATACAAAAATTAGCCAAGTGTGGTGACATGGGCCTGTAGTCACAGCTTCTTGGGAGGCTGAGACAGGAGAATTGCTCAAACTTGGGAGGTGGAGGTTGCAGTGAGCCCAGATCATGCTACTGCACTCCAGCCTGGGGGTGACAGAGTGAGACTTCATCTCAAAAACAAAACAAAACAAATAAAACACATCAGAATGCCAACTATTTACCATTAGAAAGTGTCCATTTAAATTCATCCTTCAAAGTTGAGACTTAAAGTTAAGCAATTTGCTCAAGATCATAGAGCAAGTTAGTGGCTGAGACAAGACCAGAGTTAATTCTGTTGGAAGCTGGGATGCTGGGGAAGAGGAGGCATGTTCTAGAAAGGCAGTTTATTATGAGTCTTCAGTTCCTGTTAATTAGGTTTAATTTAAAAAAAATTAACTGCCTGTTTGACATGCTTTATCATACATGATTCCCCCTATCTTTAAGGATGCTCCTCTTTGTCATTTGCAGCAGGGAGTGTGAGTGAGATGCTCCTTTAGCACAATCGTCATCAGTGTTTCCATTTTCAGATCCACAAGGGTAACGCACATTTTCTGAGGGATCTTTAACCTCTTCTCTTTACAACTCACCTGGTGAGCACCAGTTTCTCTGCAGGAGGAGATGTCAGGAGACTTTTAAACAGGGGTTCTGTGTCTTTTTGAGCACCAGGTGTCAGATGTGCCAGTAGCATCACATTGGGGATTTTGTGGGTGGAGCTGGAAGAACAGATGCCTACAGTCACCCAGTTGGCTCGGTTATGAAGGTAAATGGATTCACCTCTCCTGTTGACCTGAGTGCAGAAAACAGGAAAAGGCGTTATCTGATGAAATGTGTGGCTTTGACAACCTTGCTTGCCTGAGAAGTGTAAGAGAGGGTAGGAAATAAAGGAGACATGAACCATGGTGTATCTATTCCTTCACTTGGTCATGCTAATTCTTGGAGGTACCACAGGGAGCAGGCACAGTCCCTGACCCGTGGGGATCTACCAGGGACAAACATTAAACAATTTAAGTCTGTAACTAATTATTACTGTAAGAAGTTTTACCAAGTACAAGTTCAGGATGTTATGGGAATATGTAACACAGGACTTGACTTAGAGTAGGGAGATAGGCAGTGATGTTCTGGTAACAGCTAGGTCTTAGAAGGTACAGACATTTACACATAAGTTTATTTAAAATGTTACTGACATAAAAAACAAGTAGCACAAATGTACAAATTATATGCAATATTCTTTAGTCTTTAGTTTAAATTCCATAGAGCCAATTAATAAATTCCACAAACTCTTGCCAAACTCTTCTTATATTTATAACCTCGGAAATATAGACAATAGTAAAATGTAGTAAAAGATTAGGAATGAAGAGTTTTGAATATTTATTGCCCTTATTTTAGATATAATTGTAAGTTTATAAAATTTATTTTTTAAGAATTTAATTTTTTTTTTTGAGACAGTCTCATTCTGTCACCTAGGCTGGAGTGCCGTGGCATGATCTCAGCTCACTACAACCTCTGCCTCCCAGGTTCAAGTGATTCTCTTGCCTCAGCCTCCTGAGTAGCTGGGATTACAGGCATGTGCTACCAAGCCTGGATAATATTTCTATTTTTATGATAGATGGGGTTTCACCATGTTGGCTGGGCTGGTCTTGAACTCCTGACCTCAGGAGGCCCACCTTGGCCTCCCAAAGTACTAGGATTACAGGAGTGAGCCACTGCACCTGGCCTATAATTTAATTTTTAATAATGGCTGTGTTTAAGAACTGACTTACACATTTCCTGAATACTTACCAGTCGACCAGTTCAAGCACACCCCTGGATATGGGGTCATGGAAGTCTCCCCTGAGAAAGAAACTTGTAGCTGATATCTAAACCAAGTGGGCGATAAACTGGCTGGGTGGAGAGGAGAGGTTTGCAGGCAGAGGAACAGCATGTGTAAAAATCTCAAAGTCCAAGAAACTTGGCCAATAAAATCTCTGCCACTTGGTAGAAGAGACTGGAGGATGGGCAGGCAGGAAGGTGAAGGAAGGCAGAGAGGAGCTACACTGTGGTTTCTCCACTGTACGATAACTGGTTCAATTAAAAAACACATCACTTGAAAGAAAGAGGTTGTAGCTCACACTGTCGATAACCTTTTCCAAACTGTGCCCCTCTTCTTCCTGATTAACAGAATCCTGGTTTTGTCCAACATCATGGCTCAGGGATAATGACCTAGCTGAGGGATTAAATCCAGATTAACCTAAGTGGGTAGTGGTGGTCCTATTCTACCTCTTGCCAGTGACTGGTTTCAGCAGGGGCTGTGACCAGTGAGACATAGAGGGGCTCTCCTACAACCCTGAAAAACATTTCTCAGAGCCACCAGGAGACAGAGCCACCAGGATGAGATGAATGTCTTCTACTTCTGGCAGTTGTCCTGTTTGGATGTGGTGCCCTGAGGGGAACTAGCTTCAAGGTGATGAAGCAAAAAGAAAAAACTGGGTCCTCTACGGAGTGAGCTGAAATTCTGGGGTTCATTCACTCTATTTGAGATAATTGTTTCCTTTTTAATTTTTTAAAAAGTATTTATTTGTTTGTTTGTTTTTACAAAGTCTCCTCTTAACTTCCAGGCTGGAGTGCAGTAGCCCCATCCTAGCTCACTGCAGCCTGGAGCTCCTGGGCTCAAGCAATGCTCCTTCCTCAGCCTCTCGTGTGGCTAGGAATATAGGTGTGCAGCACTGCACCTTGCTAATTAAAAAAAAATACTTTTAGAGATGGGGGTCTCACTTGTTACCCAGCCCAGTCTTGAACTTCTGACCTCAAGCAATCCTCGCACCTTGGCCTTCCAAAGTCCTGGGATTACAGGCATAAGCCACTGTATCCAGCCTAATTGTTTTTCTTTTTTCATTTAAACCTGTTCAGTCAGGAATCTTGATAACATGCTGTCAAAGACATGTTAACCAGGGGTTGTGCATCTTGAAGGGTATGACTTATCAAATTATGATAGGGGGCTATGTCTGACCTATCAACTACTGACTACCCTAATGTTGGAAAAGTACTATGTAATTTCATTAGAGTGCACAAAAGGTAACGAACTTGGAAAGGGCACAGGATGAAAGGTGAAGAAATAAAGACATTATTAGTAGGAAAGAAGTATGTAGAAGGTAAAGTACATCAAATCATGACTTGTCACACACATTCTAGGGACATCACTAAAACATTAGATGTTTTGGGAGGTGAAGTGCTCACACTAGTACTCAAGTATTGGTGCAGACAATGTGTTTATGGAAGATGAAGTTTCCTTACCTTTTGAAGAGTCTGTTGTCCTCCCTTGTCACCCCTCTGTGAAATCAGCTGAGCAGCTGCTCAAATGTGTTAAGAGTTAGACATAATAGCTCAGTGTTTAGTGTTAGACTTTGATGCAGCATTTCTAGGAGTTTTAAAGCTATGACCCCTATCATTGAACTCATTTCACCATTTCTTTGTCTGAATATTTTAATGTTGAATGTTTATAGAAAGTTATCATTGCTCCCAAATGCACAGAAATGCAGTTTCATTCATAATGTAGGTACCTTCTTATGAGAAGGAAGCTTTTCTTCCCAACACCGTCTGACAAGTATATTTTACCTTCAGAATTAAGAGTTAAGATTCATTGTAACCCCTATCTGTGTCAGAGATGTTCTTTAGAATGTCTTCTATGCCTAAGAAAGAAGTTACCTGTATGTTTCCCCGTGGCAGGAAATACCAAAAATGGCTTCATGTAATTTTGGGAAGATTATGATAGAATGACAATTATGGTAGAGTTAAGACAGAAGTCCTTCACAAGAGTTTGTTGGGGACATTTGAAATGAATGTCCTTTAACATTATAATTATTTCAGGTTTTTAAAAGTTCCCAAACTGTTCTCTTTAGTAGTATCACACATTCCCTTGGTACATTTAAAACAATTCTCCTCCCATCCTTTTCAGTTTTCTTTGAGAAAATTAATTACTGAAGTTATTGGAACTTAACTCAGGTCTTGAATATGATTTACCTGGATAAAATTGCTCTCTAACATGGGAGGAGATACAAAAGGGGCATACTCTCCTCCATCCAACATATTTTGAAGATGTCCTGGATCATGGGAGTGTGGGGTGCAGAGAGCATCTTGCTTATTGATCCTCATGGTAGGTTTGCTGGTGTTCTTCTTCATTGCACTTGCATATAAAAAAAAAACACTGAGGGAACAGAAATACAATTAATGGATACAGAGAGAATTTAATGTCAGAATTAAGTTGCTTCATCTATTTATTCAGCACACTTTATTAATATCTGTGATATGCTTGACACTGCACCAGGCACTTGTATTAATACATATGTCTCAACAGGACTGTAAGATCCGTGCCCTCCTGAGCTTACACTTTATGGGGAGACAGGTAGTAAGCAAGCCAAAAGAAACTCAAACAAGATGTTGGATGATAGGGACTATCAAGACTTGAAAACAGATACATATAATAAAAAGTGACTGGGATCTGGGGCCGGAGACACTTATTAGGGTATTAAGGAATGGGCTCCCTAGGAGGTCTCTCAATATATTCCCCCACAGACCATTATTTTCTGTCTTCCAAATTAATGGTACTCTCTCCATCATGCAGCATTCTCCAATCCCTTTTTGGAAGTAGGGTGTCAAAGCTGTACTAAACTGAGAACACTTTTCCAGACTATTCACCCATAACTGAGCCTTAGCTCTTAGTTGCATGCTCCTTATGAGACCAAGTCCATGGAAAAATTGTCTTCCACAAAACTGGTCCCTGCTGCCAAGAGGACCACTGCTGTAGGCAGCATCTTAAGTACATTGAGTCCCCAGGAGAGAGAAGGAAGAAAATAAATCTTGGAAAGTAAAGCAAGTGGAAGAAGAAGGAAGAGGGAAAGGAAGGAAAAGAGAAAAGGGCAGGAGAGGGTGTGGCCATGCAGCCAACATGGTTTGTCTATAAGAACCATCAAATCTCACCTCAACTCAGGCCAAGCCACAATCCTCTCTAGGAGATGAAGTTTTTAAAGTCACTTCAGTTTGAGCTTCCTCCTTTTCATGATGAAAGCTTTTGTAAAAGAAACAAAAATAGAAAATCAAATGTATACAGGCTGTACACAATGGCTCACACCTGTAATCCCAGCACTTAGGAAGTTCAAGGCAAGCCCATCACTTGAGCCCAGGAGTTTGAGACCAGCCTAGGCAACATAGCAAGATCTTGTCTCTACAAAAAATACAGAAATTAGCTGGTTGTGTGGTATGTGCCTGTAGTTCCAGCTACTTGGGAGGTTGATGCGGGAGGATTACCTGAGCCTGGTAGGTTGAGGTTACAGTAAGCTATGATCTTGCAACTGCACTCCAGTCTGGGCAACAGAGTAAGACCCTGTCTCAAAAAAAAAAAAAAAAAAAAAGCACTAATTTGTATACATAAGAAACTAATTTCAATTCTAAACCTTACTGTTATTTCAAGTGTGAGGTCAATGCCTTAGAAAGAGTTAAAGTTCTTCTAAGTATACTGGATAGGTGAAGCGAAGTCCAAGGCTGCTGTCTATGTCTGAGCTGAGCTGTTGTCAATGATCCTCACCATGGTCTTTTGGTGGAACTAGAAAGTCATGAGTCCATAGCTCATAATTGGCCTGAAACTGCTAAACAGTGAAATCCTGGGCTCCTATGGCCAATGAGGATATTTGATAATGTGGCAAAGGAAGCAGTACAGATTATATTACTGGGGTTGCATTTAATTGCTATTTAAAATGTACTCCTTAATGATTACCTGAAAACCTTTTGTTGTCATCTTCTAGTAAGATTAAGAAAGCTCCTGGTCAGGAGCGGTGGCTCACGCCTATAATCCCAGCACTTTGGGAGGCCAAGGTGGGCAGATCACTTGAGGTCAGGAGTATGAGACCAGCCTGGCTAATATGGTGAAACACCGTCCCTACTACAAATACAAAAATTAGCTGGATGTGGTGGTAGATACCTGTAATCCCACCTACTTGGGAGACTGAGGCAGGAGAATTGTTTGAACCTGGGAGGTGGAGATTGCAGTGAGTAGAGACTGTGCCATTGCACTCCAGCCTGGATAACAAGAGCAAAACTCTGTCTCAAAAAAAAAAAAAAAAAAAAAAAAAAGGAAAAAAAAAAGAAAGCTCCTATATGAAACTTGTAGAGTGTGTGTGAGAGGCTTGGAAGAAGGTCCTAAAGACTAGAGTGGAGCCCTTTAAGAAATACACAGAGGATGATGGCACAGGACCAACAGCTGTGGGAAAATTCCAGTAAGAAAGCATTATTTAGAAGGCTGAGGTGGGCAGATCACCTGAGGTCAGGAGTTTGAGAACAGCCTGGCCAACATGGTGAAACCCTATCTCTACTAAAAAATACAAAACTTAACCAGGCGTGGTAGCATGCATCTATACTACCAGCTTCTCCTAAAGGCCTCTCTAGGAGATCTCTCAAGATATGCCCACTTAGGAGGCTAAGGCAGGAGGATTGCTTGAACCTGGAGGCGGAGCTTGCAGTGAGCTAAGATCATGCCACTGCACTCCAGCCTGGGTGACCAAGCAAGACTCTGTCTCAAACACACACATACACAACACATACACACACCCCAAACAAACAAAAAAACAAAAGAAAGCATTAAGTTATATAATTAGCAGCATGTTTTCTTTCTTAGTGGCACATAAAATATCTTTTTGTTTTTTTGAGACAGAGTCTCTCTCTGTCATCCAGGCTGGACTGCAGTGGCATGATCTCGGCTCACTGCAACCACTGACTCCCTGGTTTAAGTGATTCTCCTGCCTCAGCCTCCCAAGTAGCTAGGATTAGAGGCACAGGCCACCACGCCCAGCTAATTTTTGTATTTTTAGTAGAGATGGCATTTAACCATGTTGGCCAGTGATCCACCCACTTCATGATCCACCTGCCTCGGCCTCCCAGAGTGCTGGGATTACAGGTGTGAGCCACTGCGCCCGGCCAATAATGGTATATATTATAATTAGTCGATCTTAGATTTGAGGAGACACAGCAGTCCACTCTTGTTCATACAGAGTTAAGTGAAAGAGTGCACATTTTGGAAAAACAATTCACTCTGAGAAAATGAAATTCTGGAAAGTCTGTCTACTGTTTGCAGACACTTGCTAATCAGGAGATGCCACATGGCTGCTGGGACTAGGGAAAGGCCCTTTCCAGTGCTGTCATTTATGAGATCACCAGAATTCATTGCATCTGAGAATTCTCCTCCCAGAGAGCAAACAGTGGATGATCTCCCAGGGGAACAGGTGTAGCTGTGGATTCAGGACACAGACAGGGAGGAGGAAGTGAGAGGTAAGGAAGGAATTCAGAGATATTTGCAGCCACAACTGGGTCTCATCCTTTGATGTCCTTTTTGAACAAAGTTGAGGTTAGCTGAGGAGCAAAAAGTGTTAACAGGCTCTTTTATCAACTTTGCTGTGATGTTCTAAACATTTGTTCTGAAATTATTTTTACACTTTTGGATTATGTGTATAGCTGGTAAGTGTATGCTAAATTTTGACTAGTTTTGTTGTAACTGTAATTTGAGATATCTGCACACTACACTCCTCACCCCTCTAACATCTCTACTAAATATACAAAAACTAACCAGGTCTGGTGATGCATGCCTGTAATCCCAGCTACTTGGGAGGCTGAGGCAGAAGGATCGCTTGAACTCAGAGGCAGAGGTTGCAGTGAGCCAAGATTGTGCCACTGCACTCTAGCCTGGGTAACAGAGCAAGATTTCATCTTTAGGGGGAGAAACATTAGTCCAGGCTCTTAAAACAGAGGGATGGTTCTGCGAAGTCATCATTTTGACCACCACCACCACACACACACACACGCACACACACACCCCTACACACACACACACATACACACCCACCATCGTATATTTTACCAATGGCAAAGTAAATTATTTACTAATTTCACTTTTTTTTCCTCTACAGGGTCTTGCTCTGTCACCCAGGCTGGAATGCAGTGGAGTGATGTGATCTTGGCTCACTGCAGCCTCAACTTCCTGGGCTCAAGTGATCCTCCCACCTCAACCTCCTGAGTAGCTGGGACCACAGGCGTGCACCATCATGCCTGGCTAATTTTTGTATTTTTTGTAGAGTTGGGATTTCACCATGTTGCCCAGGTGGGTCTCAAACTCCTGAGCTTAATCAATCTGCCCACCTCGGCCTCTCAAAGTGCTAGGATTATAGGTGTGAGCCACTGTGCCTGGCCTTAGGTTCACTCTGAATAGCTGGAGACAGTATTTAAGTTTTGGTATATGTCTTTACAGTTCCTTCCTTCCTTCTTTCCTTCCTTCCTTCCTTCCCTGCCTCCCTCCCTCCCTCCCTCCTTTCTTTCTTCTTCTTTCTCTCTCTCCCTCTTTCCTTCCTTCTTTCTCTTTCTTTTCCTTTCTTTCTTTCTTTCTCTTTCTCTCTTTCCTTCCTTCTTTCTTTTTTTTTTTGAGTCTGATATATTTTTTTTTTGAGACAGAGTTTTGCTCTTGTTACCCAGGCTGGAGTGCAATGGCACCATCTTGGCTCACTGCAACCTCTGCCTCCTGGGTTCAGGCTATTCTCCTGTCTCAGCCTCCTGAGTAGCTGAGATTACAGGCACGTGCCACCATGCCCAGCTAATTTTTTAATTTATTTTATTTTTAGTAGAGACGGGGTTTCACCATGTTGACCAGGATGGTCTCGATCTCTTGACCTCGTGATCCACCCACCTCGGCCTCCCAAAGTGCTGGGATTACAGGCTTGAGCCACCGTGCCCAGCCAAGTCTGATCTTATTTATTTGTTACTCAAAAAATCTTATTTCTGACTGGATTCAGACTTAGAAGTAGAAGCTCGCAAAGACAGAAGTCTGTGTCTCTTCGGAATTTGTTCCTGGGCTTCTCTTTAGCCTCCTTCATTCTCTTGGCCAAAAGTTTAGCATATTCTGCAGCCTCTTCCTTATTTTTCTTAGTACGCTGCTTCTTCAGAGCAATACACTGCTGTTTGTGCTGCAGGGCACATGGAGTAACAAGATGCTGAATCTTGGGTGCTTTAGTACTAGGTTTCTTACCTTCTTTGTTTAAGGGCTTTCTTACAATGTACTGGCGGACATCATCTTCTTTAGAGAGATTGAAAAGTTTTCGGATTCTGCTAGCTCTTTTGGGCCCGAGGCAATGAGGCACGGTGGT